GGTTTAGGTGTAGGGTCAGTGTTAGTCATTCATTTTTGATGGTTAGGGTAAGCAGCTAGGGAAAGCATTATGTCAATGGGAGGTCCCCACGAGGATAGCAAACCAGACTTATGTGTGTGTTACCTGGTTGGAGCCTTCAGCTTCTTGCGGATGCCGATGTAGATCTTTAAGGACTTCAGAGCCCACTCCTTCTCAGGTTTGATGCTCTGCAGACACAGATGGTGAGACTTTTGTTTTTTACTGTTCTTTTACTGAGATTTGCTGGTTTTCTGTTCTTATTTTGGTTTTCCCAGGTGTTACTCGTCTTCTTGTTCTCCAGTATTTTGTACATATTCCTCCTGTTTGTTAATTATTCGGCCACAGTTGGTGTGGAGCGCCTACAGTTTTGTTGTCCATGTACAATGATATCTATTCTATTCTATTCTTTTTTAACTGTTTTTTTGTTGTTTTACTGCTGTCTACTGTTCCTGACTACCTTCTTGTCTTTGAGCAGCAGCAGTTTGTGGTGTCGAATCTGGAACGTTCTCTCCTGGAACCTGGTTCCCTGAAGGAGTTTCGGAGGCTCCTCGCGACACCTCAGCAGACCCACCTTCATGATCTCGCTCTTATAAGCTGACAGGCAGACACAGGTGGACACGTTAGCCATTAATGCAACATCAGAGGCTTATTATCGCACAGCTGTGTCCACCTACAGGTGAGGAGAGTGATGCCTTCTCCTTTAGGGACCCTCTTCACCACCAGGTAGGCGGAGCTCGGGTCAGCCATCTTACACCACTGCAGAGCCTGCTCCAGGACCTTCTCTTTGGGGTGTAACGGACGCTCTAGAAACATGACAACAACCAACATGTGAGACAGGTGACCTCTGACCTCCTGAGAGAGACAGGAGTGTTTGCTCACCCAGCTGACCATCCTCGATGGCCTCGAACGTCATCCAGACGTCTTTGTCCCCAGCTGGGACGTTCCTCATGTACAGAACCTGATTGGTCAGCTCCTCAGCACACATGGTGGGAGACACCTGCAGGGGTCAGAGGTCACACAGCTTTAGTAATCGTCATTATCGCTATCAATAAAAGTTCTGATTAAGGATGCCCAGCCTTACTTTGAGAGTTATGCAGCAGTCAGGTATCTTCATCTCCAGATAGATTTCAATGATCAGATCACCGGCCTGAGAGAGCTGTACAGAATCAACCAATCAGGCAAAATGGCAAAATCAGCTAAACTTTAAAAGGAACTGCCGAGGACCGGCTGAGGGAACGCATCGCACAAAGGATGATGAAGATGGAGCTGCCAGGCAGGAGGAGAGGAGGAAGGCCTCAGAGAAGGTTCATGGGTGTAGTGAAGGAGGACATGCAGAGGGTGGGGCAACAGAGGAGGATGCTGGGATAGAGACGGATGATCACATTGGTCCCAGAGATCAGGACGCTGAATGAAACACTTAACACATGTTCTACGTTCTACGGTTCA